GCTATTGCTGGGTTCTATTATCTTGGCTTCTAATAGCTGATTCACATGGTGATCAATCATTGGTCGGTAATTAATTGGTGTTCGATATGGCTTAATTTTGTCGTATGGGTGGGTGTCCTTCGGTGTCTATTGTCATCTTGACCAGGTTGGTACGTCCGAGGTCTAGGTTGCTTTCAGCAAACAAGTTGCTGTTTTGCATCAGTAGATCCTCCACAGCTGCACGCTGGTGAGCTGGTATGTGATCTAGACTGACCTTTGGTAGGGTTGGCAGTGCTGACTTTCCTCTATGTTTGTTGTTTTCCCTGTGATGTGCTTGACTTAACAGACGGCACCGACGGCAATTGCCGTTGGTGCCCCTATCAATCGCCGTACTGCCCCTGAAGATCCAACCCAACTGACGGCAGTGACCTGCCTTGCCCTTTTCTGTAATTGCCGTCGGTGCCTCTGGCTAGACTGGTTTGCGGCCGCACTGTTTGTCACAGAGCGTGTACATTGTCTAGCAGAGCGTGAGGCCAGATACCAGTTTATCCTTTGGCAAAAACAATAACCGTAAATGTGGCTTGCTGCTAACCGCTGCCAGTAGACGATCGATAAATCGTGCGCCTGTGTATGCCCATGGTAGAACACGAATTGTTTAAATGCTGCACGTGGACTCGGCCCGCACGCGATTTAAAGCGCGGGAAACGACGCTCGCACAATAATGGCCAGCTGTGATCTGTATGGTGTGTAGCTTGCAGTAAATTTAGAGAAATTTTAGTCGAATTCATACGATGACACAAAGTTTTTTCGTAACAATGGTCTGGGTCTGGGCTAGTGAAAGTTAGGTCAGGGCTAGTAGTTTTCCTCAGTTACTAGCCCGATGGTCTAGTGAAATAAAAAGTTAACGTTGAACCCTATTACTGTACTTCCATTAGCAGAGGTTGATGTATTAATTTGTTTAGTTTTCCTTTATTTTACAAAAGTGCCTTGGTGCCCTTCTCAAATTGTGAGAGTTGCCTTGATTCCTTTTAAAATTGCCTTGGTGCCCATCCATTTTAGAGAAAATTCAAGGCAATTTCTCACATGCCCCAAAAAAATTGCCTTGTCCCTCTCGTCACTTAATTCGAGGCCTGCAGCAGCACCTGTATGTTGAGATGCCTTCTCTATCTTGACTGATGCTATCTGTTTCTCATTAATTGGCTGGACCAAGGCAATGACACTGTTATTATCAAAAGAATACATTGTGTCTGTCATATTGACCATTGGAAACTTGATACAATGATCCTTGTTAACAATGTCTGTTTCTACAGGGAATATACCTGGCTGATCTCGCAGTGCAGGTAACACATCTGTACCTGTAATTACTACTGTTGTATTGACAGGTACGCCTTTTTCCTAACTTGCCTTCGCAGATGACGACTGTACGCGGCGGAATCTGTACTTTGTTTTTGAGTAGAACAAGCTGAATATGTTTGTTATCCTTTTGTTCTGTAAAGGCTGCTTTTAATGTGACTACTGATCTTCCCACTGATAAAATGCCTTTTTGACAATCAATTTTCATTCCCACTGTCTTCATGAAATCATACCCTAATATGGCTGCTTTGCATAGGTGCAACACTATTTGAAATCGAAACTTCGTATAGTAGCGCCCAATAACAAGTGGGATTGGCCCTTCTCCTATTGTTTTTAGTGGATGCCCAGTTACCGAAGTAAGTGTCTGTTTGCTTGTTGTTGACAGCTCACCCACATGTCGCACGCATGACGGTAATCGTTTCCAGAGCTGCTCGCTTATGAGCGTGGTCTGCGCTCCGGAGTCTATTAGGCAATCTGTCATTATGCCACCGATTCGTAGTGAGCAGACGGGTGCTGCTCTCTGTGTATCTTCGGTGTTATGCATTTCCCGACGTTTTCTTTGTCTCATTGTTAGAGACCGTTGTGTGTCGTTCGCTCGGTTTTTCGTCTCACTTAAAATCGAGCGCTTGCGTTTTCCGCATTTCCTGCTCTAAACTCTTGTGTCGACCTGCATTGCCTCCAGCGTTGACCTATCTTACCGCACAGTGCACATATTAGCTTGTCATCCTTCGTCCATTGATAACGAACGCCAGGTGGCGGTGCATATCGGGGTGTTTCAAATAGCTGTAGTTGCCTTTGCTGCCAGTTACTTGCTGCTCCACGCTGCCACGGTGTGCTATTTTGGTAGGCAGGGCGTGTAGACTGCCTCCACGTCGTTTGCTGGTTATGCGTTTGCCATGGCGGCGATTGCGTAAATGACGCATATCTAGGCTGAAATTCCCTGCTCCGCGCGCCTCCTTGATTCATCGTACCTCCTGCTGGCTGTTGCGGTGATGGTAGCTGCGTATCGGTTATGTTGTGGAGGTGACCTTGATACGGTTGCCATTATCTTCGCTACAGCGCCGCGAATCTCTTGAATTTGCTTCTGCATGACGGGCGTGGATTCTACATTGTCTATCTCCATTGCCTCCTCGTCGTGGCGTGATGTTCGCATCCTTACCTCTTGATCGATAGCTGATTCTCCGATAGCATGTTTCACTGCCCCTTCGAGGGTGGCGGGACGGCTGCAAATTAATGTTCTTTTAATCCCCTCTTGTCTTAATCCATTAACAAATTGCTCAACCACGCAAGACTGAACGTATAAATCCTCATACGCCTCTGCCCCGAATGCTGCTCTCGCTTCTGCCTCCAGCCATTTGGCAAATGTGGTTATGATTTCATGCCGTCCTTGCTTGTCGTGCTTAAACATGTTACATGTGCGTGGTCTGCGTATTTCTCACTTAGCAGTTGACCTAATTGTGACATCCCCATCGTCGGTGTATGGATTAGGGCATCAGATGCGAATTTAGCTGCTTCTCCGCTCAGGAGTCTAAGCGATAAACGTGCTAATTCCGTCTCACTTTGCGTCCCTACAATCAGAACTAATCTCTGAAGATTTTGCCACCATTCGTTGAAGGTAATTAACCCTTTCTCTTCCCCCGAAAACGATTGAAAGGTGGTAAGTGTGCTCAAGGCTTTAACCTCCTTGATCAATAAATCCATTGTCGATACAGGAGCTTGCAATCCTGTCGGATGAGAGGCGGTGGACTCCATAGCAGCGGTAGGATTAGGTAATGGATCGTACAGTAGATTATTCGATATCAAAAGTTAACTATTCATCAATTACATTACGTTAAGTGTGAGCACGAATTAATGAGTGTTGTACTTACAATAGTAGTGTAAGAATCATCGTTTCAGATGTGATTCCCGTCGGCTGAAGAGGTTGCGATTCTATTAATTATGTCCAAATGTGGGATGTGCTGCCGCCCGATGCTGCACGATGCCGCGCGCTGCTGTTGCTCGTGCGTGCGTGTTGCTGCGGTGATGTTGGTGACGCTGACGCCCACGCTGATGATGCCGGGACATCTATCGGCGAAAATGTTGGTGATGTCTCCACTGTGATGATATTGCTGTGATGAGACGGCGTTCACGCTACGATGTATAAACGCTGGCTGCTGCGCTGTGAGGTCACTGCCCGCTAAAGATAGCTTCAGTGTGTTCGTACGCAGTTCTGCAGACTCGTCGGATGCTACACGGAGTAGCAATGACGATGATGCCGCTATCTCTCTGCTGCTACTGTTACTGCTGATGTCGACGATGATGCTTGATGTCAATACACACACAATTCCCTATAATGCGGTGCTGACGTCACTGCTATTAATGCCAGCATTGATCGTGATGCTAGATCTCGAATGTCAATGCAGTTTCTAAGTAGTTTAATGCTGCAATAGTGCGTTCACGTTACGCTGCTCCGCCGCTGCTGCTGCAAGGCCACAGTTCGCTAAGAATAGATTCAGCGTATTCGTACGCAGTGCTATAGTCTCAGTTCCTATGACGATGGGGCGCTGCTGCTGTTGACGGTATTGCAGTCGACGTTGACGATGGCTAAGCTGCCGTCGCGGCTGTTAATGTTGATGCTGCTGCCGGCGATCTCTTCACAATGATGATGCTGCTTCTATCGACGTTGACGCTGATGATGCTTCTAGCGCTCAAAGTTTGATAGATACGATGCTGACGTCACTGCTAAAGCCACCTCTTCTTTCTCTTCTTCTTTCTCGTTCTTCGTTTCTTGCTGCCGCTGACTTCCTTCCGCACGAATCCTGGTGATTACGGCTCCAAATGTACCAGCTCTCTGATGTACATGAGATATGAGTTGTATCAGTGTTATAGACAATTCGTAAGGCACATCGGGAGATGCCCGACTGTGTGTAGACACGTGATCGTATAGGTCGTAATGTTATAGGTCTTGCGTTGTATATTGTTCTTCACCCGTTGTTATCTGTTCGTGCTTGCGTTTCCGCTTGAAGGAGATTTCAGACTTGCCTCTTGTGCGACGTAAGGCGAGTAGCGAATAACTTTACAGTAGAGATAACACGTATTTGTTGTAACAGACTAGATGGTTTTATTCTACTCAGAGAGTCACTAAATACAGACAGGTAATGTTTTACAACACATAAGTTCTTCTACTTCTTCACTACGAGTGGCTACGTGACTGACTAAGACTAACTGACTAACTATCTGCGTGTCGCGGCACGCGGTGGGTTTTTATATCCATCGCGGGTGTGTGGTCATGGTGGGGGGAAGCGTATATGGTTTGGTGCGGGCGCGTATCTCCTGACCATAGTGTTGTGGCTACGGGCGAGGGAAACTGAGCCCAGCTGTGAATAGATTTTATATCGAACTTGATACCAAACCAGGGTCACATGACCGAAGGGCTGGCTGGTGATTGGGCCACGCCCTTAGTACGCAGTTAAAAAACAAGCGGTCACGTTCACGTTTAGCAACGATGTCATTGCGCTGAGAATATCCTGTGACTTATTCTTGACCGCACTCCGGTTGCTATTCTTAACCGCGCTCAAGTTTCAGCACTCGCACGGGTAGCTCTGCTACACTTCTTTTCGCAAATTGACCCCTCTTCCCATTCACATACAAACAATACTATTCTACACACCATAAGAAAGAAAACAATCTTTTGTATAAATCAAACAATAAATTATGAGTTTATTAGCACATATTAGCAATTCAAATTAGCACGCCTGTTTAACTATACATATATTGGATGTATATATACAGCCACAAGCTCCATAAGACTAAGATCGATCATGATTAAACAAGTGTTTCTAATATAATTTTTATATTTTTAAGATAAACATAAAAGTTATTATATTCTGAAATCGCCTAACTTTTTGCAAGTTATACAAATACTGTTAATATGAACAAAAATCGCTCACTGCATGGGGCAACCTCATGCTAGCACAGCAAGTTACTATTACAGGGACAGTTACGACCTGGCATTTAGCTGCTGTCAGACCCTCAGTTTGGCCCAGAACACCATTCAATAATGATTGACAGTGTTGCGTAAGCTGTTTTAATGGGCAGAGTACAAAATATGCGGCTATATTTAGCACATATCAACCAATAGTTTTTACATGTATTCTCTGTTCAAGAGTTTACATACTTGCAGCATCTGTAAATGCCAAATCCTGTTTCTTGGAAAATTTAAGCGCAGTCATTTATTTACGTTATTTGTAACCAAATCAACCTGACAAATTAGAACAACTACAATTTTACACTGAAGTGCGCACATGGATTTGTACAAGCATAATAGCAATAAGCAAATTATACTGGAAGACTAACAGATTATTCTCAGCTGGCAAAGGACAGTAACACACTTTTTCCAAATAACATCAGACAAGATTATAATTGATCATTATTATAGACTTGCTACTATTCAATGCTATTGCTACTACTACTGATACTATTCAAGAGTGGTATCTCATTTCAAATGAAATATATTTGACCATCAAAACAATGTTATAGTTATGAATGAAGTTTTGAATGAAATTCCATATGCAGTACAATGAAGCACCATTTCAATATATGTTATCTCAAGTTCTACATTTTTGTGCTGACACCACCATTTTCACGGTCTATGGTGGTTTTATTGTCATTGTCCTCTCCACGCTGGCCAAAGTCAGTCCAAGTTGTCTGTGAGCGCAAGGGTATTGGATGGCCATCAGCATCATTATTGTAACTTGGGTCACCTTTGCTGTAAGGTGGGGGGTCATCCTCCTACAAAAAACAGATGATTAAGCCTTTGCATGCTGACGTATAAAGATATACTCCGGACTGATGAAGTCGAGCTAAAATATGCTTGAAATGTTCATTTGATGAAAAACGACATGCATATCAATTAAACGAATTGCACATTAGGCTGATACAAACCTCGACTGCATCTGGATCATGCGATTCATAATCTACATAGGTGTAGAATACTGCCATGATTGCGAAGATGATGTCAACTCCCAGCATAAGGCCAGCAAACAACAAGAACTCTGAAAACTGCAAAGCAAAGCATTCAAAAACTTACAGACAGTTCTTGAGGTGATAACAGTGTAGATGAATAAAGGTCATTATAATAAATCATATCTAAATAAAAAGTGATAATCAAATACTTGATCTGATATATATATATATAGCTAAATATAGGGAATTTGGTGGTGGATGTGTGTAGTTGACATTGCAATGAATCTGGAAACTGTATAATCTCATATCAAGTATCAAACCATTGCTTTACGTGTATAATAAATACATGACAGGCTGTAGAACCACGGGAATAAATAAATGGCTCTACAACAGTCCATACCTGATCTGGCATAAAAGCAACTTCAGCAACTATCATCACAATGAGGTTGCCAACTGCGACTGTAAGTAGCCAGCCAGCCTGCATTAGGGCTTTCATGGATGGTGGTGCCTGGTAGACGAATAAATAACGATTGAAATTAACACAAAATCAAAATGGCTCATTATTAAAATACTAAGCATTTTACTGTTCTTGTGCTGGCAATACAAAATGCTAAGAAATGTACAAATTAAAAATTGACAAATTTTAGTGCCATGCTTACACTTTGAAATATCTAGGTGGAAGTGTTACAGGCATATACAACAGTCCTTATAGTCATATGCACAAAAACACTTAAATAGAATTCTATAGGCCTACTCATAAAGAACTACATGAGATACAGACTGTTAAAGGTATATGCAAAACAAACAACTACACATCACCATCATCATCATCATCATCATCATCATCATCATCATAATCCTTGTTTATTTGTTGACGCAGGACTAAATTAGTCCCTCACGAAAGAGGGGTGGGTCCTGCGTGACAACAGTCTTCAATCTTCCGCTCCACTCTCCCCTGTCAGTCGGGTTGACTTGTAGCAGGCCGAGTGCTACCCTGTCTTTCTTCACAGTCTCTTCCCATGTCTTTCTTGGGCGTCCACGCCCCCTCGCTCCAACTTGGATGTGCCCCACTCTGTTTATCCAGCCTTCGCTGCGTTCAAACGTGGCCGAACCAGCGGACACGCCTGGTTCGCAACACCGACTCGAGGTCGTCGAGGCACAGTTTCCCAAGCAGCCCGTCAGAGGCGATCTCGTCCTTGGTGGTGACACGCACATCCAATGGATCATCGCTCTGTCGCTCCGCCGGAGGCAGGTTAAAGGTGTCGGTGGTCAGTGCCCAAGTCTCACTGCCATGCAGCATGCCACTTCTGACACACGAGTTGTAGACGCGGCCTCTGGTGAGGGGGGCAGGCAGCGGGAAGTCAGGAACGGCAGCAGCTTCTTGAACTTTCCCCAGGCGACCTGGGCCTGCGTGATAGATGCAAGCTCGCACCAACCACCGGCTGACAGTGTCACCCAGGTAACAGAAGGACGCTAGCTACCACCTCATGCTTAATTGTCCTCTCCTAATACATATATACCTAATGCATACAAGTGCCGCAGAGCGACAGCGCTCACCTGACGGCAGGTGTTCTGATGCTAAACTCGGGGGCAAACGAATCAAGAGCACCCTCCCATCGCCGCGTTCGCTCTCCCTCGTTGTCTCTCATTCTTTCTCTTTCTCTCTCTCTCTCTCTCTCTCTCTCTCTCTCTCTCTCTCTCTCTCGTTTCCTCTCTCTCGCGCTCTCTCTCTCTCTCACTCGCTTTCTCTCTCTCTCTTCTCTCTTCCAATTTCTCTCATTTCTCGAGGCCCGGTAGCGCTGCCGGACGAGGCTGTATACGACTGATGTCTTATACAGATGTCTGATTGTCTATCAGACTGGATTGTCTGATGGTCTTCTAACCCTAGCAAGACCGTTCTGTGGAGCTAGCACAGGCGGTAACGTTTTTATATAACTTCACATAAATGTTTATACTATATATGTTAATTCGGGTGGCACTCTGGCAGCCCATGTTTATACTATGTTAACTCGGGTTTCCCCCGAGCGGCGACGATGGTTAGAAAATTATGAAAAATTGCCCCTAAAAAGCTGCTTGTCCGGCGGACAAGCTACCTGACAGATCTACTTTGTCCTCCGTGGAAATGGAAAAGTACGGACAAACGGATTAGCCCTTATTTCGAACACTGCGGATGGTATCAGGCCCTTCTCAAAGAAAATTTTTCGTGGATCGTTATGAAAGTTGCCACGAGATGGCGCATACGTTTGAATGTCTTAAGATTAAAGATGGAAGCTGGAAGCTTCCATCGTACGTAGTATAGCAACAACTATTTGCAAGACAGGATAGGGTAAGCACTCATCCATTTACCTACGCAAGCCTACAGCTGAAAATTGAATAGAGAGCTGCCACCTGTAACTAATTAATGCAGGCAAAAACTACACCATACTTACACACACATGGCACTGGCAGTTGGCCCACTGCAGTGGCATAATCAATTACGATGTAAACACACTGACAGTACAGAATGCCATAGAAATTATACGATTTTAAGGAGCATAAACCTTCTTCAAGCAATATTAGCTTTTGAATTTCACGTGCTGACATTCTGTAGCCTCATAGACATCCAGCGACTAAGTATAAGATACTACTAGCAAACCGGCAGTCAAATTCTTTCTAACAGTAAACAAATCCATGTTTAACCTCCTCTTGGGGGTCAAAAAGGTTATCAGACACTTAAATTACTCTATCGCCACGGACAGTTGAAAGCACATTTCATTGGTCATTTCAATAAAGCCATAAAAATGATTGATCACCGCTTGAAACAAAAAAGTTTTCAATCGCTCCGTCACACCATAGTCCTCAGAAAATGTCTAAAATCTGCCCTGTGCCCCATTGACCTTTGACCTGTGACCTCAGCACAGTGCAGCACAGTGATGGCTTTTCCTACCATGATGCTATACACCGACTATCACGAGCCGTTTAGATTTGTGCCGCAATTCTGCATTTCCTCCCTATACCTAGGTTAAGGAGGGAATGTTCCCCCTTCTTTTACACCTCTTGGCCTTTGACCTTTGACCCCCAAATTGATCATTCCGAGTCTTTTTCATGATCCCCCCTCCCACATCCCCAATATCGTGACCGTACGTCGAGCGGTTAAGATTTGTGCCCAACTGTTGATGCACGCCCGCACACACGGACGGACGGACGATCATGCGATTCTACAAGCTGCATCCGACTATGTCAGATGAGCTAATAATTACAAATTCTAATTCCTAACTAAACCTATTCCTTTGCTCAGTAGGTACATCATTATTTTTTTCACAGTTTATTAATTTGAAGGATTAAATTGTTACCTGTGAATATGCAAATTCCAGTCCAGTGACAGAGAAGATGACCTCGCCTGTGGTCATCACAACGAACTGGGGTATCTGCCATAATATTGACATGTTGTTTGCTGGCACAACCACAAACTCCAAAACCTTCACCTGCAATGGAAAAAGAACATATATTACTATACTGCGATTGTTGCATGATGAGTTAGCATGTTGTCGTTATTTAATTGGCATCAATTGTTGTTCGTTTGTCTATGCTCGAGTCATTACAGGAAGGTAGAGTAATAAAGAATGTATAAAGTGTAAACCCTGTTTCATTATTCAAACTTGTGTGCAGGTACAAGAAAACAATGTAACACCCCTCTATTGAGCTAAAACAGTAAACCTCTGCAGGGTCAGAATTCCCAATATCACTCCTCAGCACATAGGTGTAGGTGGCGCCAGGGTCTGTGTTTATGTTCTTGACAAATTGAAATCCTTCGTCATTCTCAGCATCAGGGGCATGAATACTCACGTCGTACCTAGAACATGGGATAAATCATTTAAGTCATCAAATCATCAATCATCAAAATAAATAGGCAGTGGCTAAGGGTACGGTAGCCGTATCTTAATGTCTCGAGGCTACGGGTACGGGAGTCCATTCGTTTTCATACTTAACGAGACAAAGATGGCGGTGGTGGCGCCAGATTTCGAAATAACGCCTTGGGAAATAAATTCACGATTTGAGAGTTTAGATGAGCTAGAACCCTAACCCTAAACCTAACCCTAACGCCAAAAAGGGGCTTCAACGACCGACGGCTACCGTACCTCCAGCCACTGCGAAATAAATATGTGAATGAATAATAAGTAATAATAATGACACATAAGTATATGTTTTACAACACATGATAAAATGTTTATAATGAAGACATAGCCACATTGGTATACTTATACTTAGACCAAATAATTCTGTCCCATATAACCTTTTTTATATTTTGGCGATATATATTTACGTTCGTATATCACATTCGCCATTTACAAACAATCAGACCAGTCAGAGCGAGTCTATCAGCCCTCCTGCAGCGCCACAGATACAAGCGAGAACCAGACTATTGTAAGACTCGCTCCGATTGGTCTGATTGTTTGAAAATGGCAAATGTGGTTTATGAAAGTGGAATGAAGCAGGTTTCTGAAAAACAATCTTTTAAAAAGTGAATAACGATTGAAGTGAATGTATACATATATCAGTAGCAAGGTAAAGCCATGTAGAAGGGAACGGTAGGTTTTTTTTCGCGCCAATAGCGGCGTACGGGCCGCATTCGCAGCGCATGCATTTTGCATGCGATCTCACAAAATTTCAATGAACCCCGTTCTGTCCCAATAACCCTCACCAAAATATAAAAAAGCTTATATGGGACAGAATTATTCGGTCTAACTTATACTGTAACTCCACTATAGTCCCACATACATCCTATATTTATACTAAGAGCCTGATACATACGGGCCTGTATCATAGTTCACTGCCAGTTCACTGATGTTGCCGTAAGTCATGTCACGGAACCACTTGTTTTTATAAGTGTTGGCACTCCAGAACACAATATCCTGTTTAGTGTAAAGTAAGCTCACAGCTCTGAAATCACAATAATTAAATTGTCACATATGAAAGAATATACAGCTACCGATTAATCACGAATACAATGAAACCCGATTTTATGCGCCTTGATTTAATGCGAATTCGTATATAACGTGATGAGTCATTGGACCTTTTTTGCTCTTTCCGGGACTGGAAAGTTTTCTGGTGAGTTAAGCCGGCCTTAGGTCGAAGCGACGATTGCTTATAGATCGCGCAACTAAATGTGTTTACATGAATTGTTGCTGTGTGCATGTTGTGTACATTCGCATTGTTCGCCGATTTTCTTGAACGCGCATTTAGCGCAACCCCGCTTTTTTCGCGATGACATTTTATGGACCTCAACAATCACGTTATAACAGGGCCACACTGTACTACCATGTGAACTGACATTAATATTAACACTAACATACTAGGGATCGAGTACCAATAATATGAACAACTAACAACTAATGCCTTCTATATATGCCTTAATTGTATTTTTCATAAACATAAAAGCTAAAAAAAACTGCATATCACATTAGTTCAGGTAATGGTGCTAAAAGTATAATGCATGTCACATCTCAGTACAACACTATAGCACTAACTGCACACTACTGTATCAAGACAATTGCAGGGCTGCCAACTCTCACGCATTGACCATGAGACTCACGAATTTTGACCAAATCTCACGCTCTCACGCTGATCTTACAATATCTCACGCACAGCAAAAAAATGCCGAGATATCTCACGTATGAATATCTCTTCATGAATAAAACGCTGAAATATCTCACGCACAGCCAAAAAAATCTTACAATATCTGAAAACAGTCACTTTAGTATGCACCAAATTACACAAATTGAAGTTATAAAATGCAAAAGCTCCCTACCGTGGGAGGGGGGAACCCCCCTCCCACACCAACCCCCCACTCGGTCGCTTCGCTCCCTCGCATCTCACTCTCGCCTATCACCCACTGTTGGCAGCCCTGCAATTGTAAAATAACTGTTCAACTTTAGTACAATTTTTTGTTAAAAATATATTAAATAAGCATATATATATAAACGAATATGGAAATTTGCAAATTAATTTAATATGAAACCAGAGAGACATACTACCTGAAAGACATATCTCCATTGCTTGTCTTCGCCAAGTTGTCTTTGTACTATAAATGGAAACACATCATGTGCTACTATATTCAACTACCAAATTAAATATATTTTATCCAAATTAATCACACCTAAAAATTATTTTACTATAAATACAAGCAAAAACTAATAAATTATTTAATTACAATAGATGGCATAAAATTTCATTTTAACTATACTTGTAAAACTTGAAGTCCCTTCGTAGCCATGTCATATTCAGCAGCAATGAGGGAGTACCCTACACCACCTGAGCTACCCTCCACAGTGTAGCTAAAAACAAAACAACATTTACATTAACAACAATGCTGATATAAACAGTTGAAAGAAATGCGAAGTCAGCATTGGACAACAATTCAAGAAATTTTGTGCGAGTATAATTACTGTATTAAACACACCTTGTTTCCTTGCAATAAGAGCTGCACACGTTAGTATCATCACAGTCTATTGTCATGTTGAATGCGTTGTTTGGGTTTCTTTCATATACCATCACCTGAATATTAAATACCGGTTAAAACACAAAAATGGCCAAATCAAGTAATGTTAATAAACAAATAGATAGCTAATCATCTGTTAGCAACAGACTCCTGGTTCCTGGTTCTGTAGTTACATAACTGGTTCCATAGTTTATACTGAAGCTAGTCTGTATTGTTCCAATATTTCCATTATGATGTATTTGTTATGAATTTCGTTGGTCATTTTTGACGTGACACTCAACATTGATTCATGGAAATGTATGTGTATTCAAACAAGCCATTATTTTTGACAATCAAAGATAATTGAAAATTTATATAGCTAATGCCTATAAACATGGCAAGTACACATGAGCATAAAACAGAAAGAAACAATTATACTCACATTTCCAGAATTCAAAACAGAGAGGCCATCTGGTAATGTTACGTTCACATCACACGGCAGTGCATTCATGATTTGATATCTCACTTGGTTATCAGGAACAATCAGGACTCCTTTCTGCAATTAAAAATAGCTAGCTAAACCAATAATTTATGAGGCCTGAGCCAATAATTTCTAATCTTGCACATGTTAATGCATAAGTTGCACATACAACTACAATGTATATAATTATATATCAAATTTTAACATGGAAGGAACATTCATATAATATTCTAACAGTTTTATTATCTGTTATCTTGTATATCTCAATATAAAACCTATTAACTATATGCAAGTAAGACTGATTAATTGTGGGGATTTGAGCTTACTTCCACTTCCAATTGCACAAATGCAGCAATAACGAATGCACCCGAAGCGAACAGCATGCCAGCTGCCATTCTCTGTAGTGGCCTGTTGGAGTGAAACAGTGCGTCGTTAGAACTAAACTACCTAACCAATTGAAACCAGTGTATACGCCTAATAAGCACATAAATATCCAGCATTATACACCATATACTATCAATTTAGATGAGCACAATTTCTACATCTACATGGCATAGGTGTGTTCATGTGACTACCTAGCAGGAATGTGCAGGCATCTGAAGCACGGCCACAACACTCCTTCAAAAAGTGGTATCAGTGTGACAATCAGAAGAGGGTTGAGGAGCTGAAATATGCAGTGGTTTTTACAGATTAGTAAGGCACGAAGGGTCGTTGTCGTATCAGGTACTACATATATGTACCCGAGGTAGTTTTAGGTTGTTTAGTATTATGTTTATATTTATATATGAGGTATGTTTAGGGTTAGGGTTAGGGTTAGGGTTAGGGTTAGGATTAGGGTTAGGGTACACTTCTGTAGTACAAGTCTGGTACACTTTGTGTATACATATATGTACCTCGGGCAGGGGCGTAGCCAGTATGTAGCACTGTAGGCCCGGGCCTACACTTTTTTTGGCCAAGTTATCTTTTTTTTTAAAACACCCATAATTCAAATCCATAAGCTTGCTGGACGAGTTTAAGAGTCTAGACAGGAAAAACTATTGAAATGAACGTAGCAAGAATATGGCTAAATTAGGTGACCTATTCTTCTGTCATCTAGGCTGTCATTTCTATCACGTGCCGTTTCATTCAACACTCTACCCGCCGAAAAAGACTAGGACCTGATCTTGTCAGTTTTTTAACATTTTAACTCGTTCGTAACACTATTTTAACTCGTTTGTTTTTTGGGTTTAAAAGTCATATTGAATGAGGTGTCTCAAGTTAGCAAGAGGCCAGGGAACCAGAATGAACACTCGGGAAGGGCCGTTTCCAGCCATCTGGGGGGTTTGTAAAACCAAAAATTTTCTTGTACGCTCCGCGCCAACCGATGGTGGCGCTTCGCTCAGATAGTCGTGCCTACAACTTTGAAAATCCTGGCTACGCCCCTGTCGGGTACATATATGTAGTACCTGATACGACAATGACCTCTTCAGCATTAGTAAGGGTTGGCACTTGATGCTAGATTAGGCAGTCAGAGTTCATACACAGCGTATACGTATTGGTATAGGCACTGAAAATTGCCAAACAACAAACAGTGACACTGAATCGCTTAAGGCTCGAAGAATACCAAGGCTGATACATAGAAGTAGCCGTAAGTATCATGATTGATCTCCACACCTGCATCTGATCCGGTTTGATGGAAAATGTTCCTCCAAGTTCACCATTCATCTTTTCTGCTTGCAATACCCAGCGAGATCCCTGTAATTGTACAGTTCTATATAAATATTTACAACGTTTATCTTTGGTCACTATCTCATAATCAAATCTATGAAAATCTGCATAAATGTGCAATAAAAATTAGTATAAATTAATACTTTTATTATATTAACTTTATGCACTATTTAATTATTATATTATTTATTAATATATATAATACCATAGACTAAGAAACTACAATTGTATACTTCTAACATACAATTGGAATACACAGGTAATTACACGAACCATATGCACTGACAAAGCTGTTGCCAAGATCTTAAATCTGACCATGCAGCCTTAGAATTCTAAGACTTTTTATTGTTTCTTTATCACTCCTTTGCTAGTCAGGCTTGCATAAGATTGACATATGTCAGCAATTGTATACTTATCACTTACTATAACACCTAAATATGTGAAAACTAAGATTAAAGTATAAGTGATACGTAGTACATGGTGTCTGTCAACAATAAATAAGAAATAAGTGTACCGTATACAGATAATACATAATTATAATAATAATTGGTATTATTAGCTCTTGTTAATGTCTATCTCTGTAGGCAGAAACATTTTACCTGCTGGTCAAACAGAGCCCAAAACACAGGCAGGGGCAAGAACATGACCAGCACACGTAAGACAGACTTAACATCAGCCACCAACTTGCTCTATAATAGGAAAACAATGAATTAATTCAAATATACCAGCAGAAAATTCCTCATGACACACCTTACTTAATCTTTTGCAAAGGAATTTGTATAAACAATCAAATCAGGTTCTAATTTGAATCACTTCTCAAGTGGTTTTTAACATATAACTGATAAACTACTCAAAAATTGACTTACATCATACTTTTCCTCAGCATAATCTAACCAATGCTCATGTACGCTGGAACAGCAATTCTGAATCCTGCGGCGAAGAGCGTACTGAAAAGAATCGAGTACACATTAGAAAACTAAACAACAAAGAAGAATTAATCACTATAGCTGTTACCTACCATTTACACCTATACAATTCCAGGTCTATAATTTTTACACATAACCCTACAATGTTTAGGAATATCAAACTTATTTGTGTTATGATTTGGAAAATTATTAATAATGAAGGGAAATGAAAACAATATTCAATCTCCAAAAGGTAAAAAATCTCATGATGTCATACTTACGAAGACACACTTAACGAAGCTGACAACGACATTCTCGCCTACTGGTTGCTGTATTTTGTAGAAAGGCTTACCAATAACAAACATAACTGTGGAAGCATCAAATTTCATTATAGCACATTCTAAATTTAATCTGATTAAAACATTTAATTTCAAATTGCTGTAGTGTGTGACATAACGTATTATAGTGCACACTTTGTTATGGTAAACCAGCACAGTGACAATAAATAGCAACGAGCACCTGAACAGTTATAATTAAGTGAAGAAATCTTTGTATATTGAGCCATTAGTGGCCAAGTTTAGGAATGCAGAATTACGTACCGAGAGCAATGATGAGCAGTCCAGCTGGAACACCGAATGCAAGTGGATAGCAGTCTTCATCAAAACATTCGACTTCACCTGGTGCACAAAGCAGCATACGCATCGAGAAATCCTCTCACAAACAACGACATGCCAACTGCATGCATGTGTGTGGTAAACACTACCAACACGATGGAAAAACAAAATATGTATACCATTGACATATGCACGCACGCACGCTCATGCACACACATATAATATGTATTACTTTATTATTATACGTATTATTATAACTATTATAAAATGTCATCATGCTATTCTAAAGGCAGTTTTCACACACTTTTACAATGCAGAGCAGAGGGATAAGCGGTTAAGTGTAGTAGAAGATCCACACCATACCTGTCAACATTTGACAATTGTCGTAAGGGCTTTGAAGTAAGTCCTATGTTACCATTTAGATTAGTAATAATTTTCCCAGTAGGTGGCATGATTTCAATGTTCAACCGAAAATCAAAACCAAACAAGTTTATGATGTTTGATATTGGGTTTAATTTTTTTAAATTATGCTATGCCAAGTGAGATCAATTAAAATTTTTACAAGCAAGTAAAATAAAAATATATATGGATGGATCATATATTATATATGTCAAATATATATTATATTTTGCCACGTTTTTATGACCATGATCATGACACAGCGTCATTCGATCCTAAATTGTGTATGTTGACACGTAAGTACAAGGTGCGAAATTAACGCGAGTCCGAAGTCAAATACTCCATGATTTACTGTCAGACTCCCTGATTTGACATATGCAGGAGTCCGTGTGACTCCCTGAAAATTCTGCTATATACTAACTAGTTTGTTCCAGAGCACGGCCTCACGGAATTACCGTATTTTTCCAGCAAATGTTCAAAGACAATTTGGCAGACGTGCAACCGCATGAATCTTCAAAATAAGCACCTGCGTTATTGTTAATATCTTTAGTTTTGAACTTCAGACTGCAAACTCCCTCTTTTTGAGGGCAGGGAGTCCGTTGAACTCCCTTGTCCAAAGTTAATTTCTACCCCTGTACGTATGAAACACTGCTTCATCACACAGTCACACAGCTGTGGTGCACTCACTTCTGAAGTATGGTGTTAAGTAGGTGGAAGCCAAGCTGCCTAGATTGATGGACATGTAGAATACGGAGAAGAAACTCTTCAGCTCCTGCTCCTGCCCCTTGGAGAACTGGTCGCCACCGAATGAGGACACGCATGGCTTGATGCCTCCTGTTCCGATACCGATGAGTAGCAGACCAAGGAGCGGACCCACACTATAGTGATGAAGAAAGCTTGTCAGTGTAAACTACACAGATCACTGACAGCAGGATGAATGAATGAATGGATGGATGGATGTATAGATGTATGGATGGATGGATGGATTGATGGATTGATGAATGGATGGGTCGATGGATGGATGGGTGGATGATCGGATAGATGGGTAAATGGATGGGCAGATGGATAGACAGATGGACGAATGGATGGATGAATAGACGAATGGATTGATGGATAAATAGATTGATGGATGGATGGAGGGATGGATAGGATGGATGGATGGATGGATGGATGGATGGATGGATGGATGGATGGATGGATGGATGGATGGATGGATGGATGGATGAATGGATGGATGGATGGATGGATGGATGGATGGATGGATGGATGGATGGGTGAATGGATGGATGGATGGACGAATGGATCGATGGATGGATAGATGGATGAAAGGATGGACGAATTGACGGATGGATGGGTGGATGGATGGATGGATTAGATGGGAAAGGATGGATGGATTGATGGATGGATGGGTGGACGAATGAATGAATGGATGGATAAACAGAAAAATAGACGGACAGATGCATGGATAGATAGATATGGTTATTCAGCACCCCAATACAACACATAAGACAAAGATGTTCATGCCTCCTTCCATTGAGCCTGAAGAGTGCATTCATTTCTCAAAGATGGCAGACAGCTAGATTAGCAAAAGTTGAATTGTGGACTGAAGCCTAGGGGTCCAGTAAAATAGGCTGTACCTATATTTCATAAAGGAAACAAAAAACCTTTAAACCTGTTTTGTCTTAAAAAAAACTCCTTTTCATGTGAAATTTCACTGTCAAGAACTGACGTCTGAGGAAATTGTGCCCCTTATGAATAACTGCCGCTGAGGAAATTCTGAATGACGGTTGGAACATACAAAGAAAAAAGTGCATAGAAAGAAAATATAAAGAAAACTTACGCATTGCCATTGTTCACTGGAGGAATGGAAGTAACAGCCAATAGAATCAATCCTATTATGTAGACTATCGACAAGTAAAATATTGTCCTGCAAGTAAATTAAAGTTGATTACTCATGTGAAGATTAGCCGACAGTTAGAAGTTTATAACACTACACAGACTTATTTAATATCTTTTATCAATATTGGATGTTTAGTTATCTGTATTAATTAGAATTGAATTTTGCAAGAAAACTGACTTTCCAAAACTGTTGCAGATAAATATTACAGCCATTAATCAACTCAATATTTTAGACTGACTAGTGAAAGACTTTTTAATGTAATTTGTAATGTACAAGAATAACATCCAATTCATTTTCACGTTTTTTATTTAATGTGTCAAGGACGATGTGTGTAGAATATTACGGGGGAAACTTCTCAGGAGTTAAACCATGAACTAATGTATAACAGTATAGGCTAGTACAGAATTTGGTAGGCTCATGATGATTGATGGACTTGGATTACACAATGAGTTTACAGTATTTGTTGACTATGACTTATGCACTGTGTGTCAAACGATCATAGGAAATAAAAAATGTGATACATGCTCTGGAGAACAACACTGGCACTAGTGATAAAGCTGCCCTAGCACGCAAATAGCTGAGTCACGTACCTTTGAGTAACGTGCATTTCAGTAAACATGTAGCATCCTGCCTACGTGCTCATGCACTAAAGCTATACTTTCCCCATTTTACAGTTATAGCGTCTAGGTCAAGTATAAGTGCACAAAATCTCTGCATTGTGCATAATTATTTGCTTTTGTCTGTATTATTACTATCAATAGTTTCTGATTAAAACTCGGTAGGTACGCACGCTACGATATCGCAACTCACCAAAATTTCCCAAGGAAACCATCGGCAAGAGGCGCGCCGAAAAGCGGCGTGAAGTAGCAGAGCATAGCGAATGCATGGTAGATTGCGGTGGCCGAGTTATCGGTGAAAAGGAGGACATTCTTGAGGAACAGCACCAGCACAGCTGCAGAATACCAATATGGAAAACCAAAGTAAATAACAAGCACAACCCTAACAAGTGCCGCGGAGCGACAGCGCTCATCTAACGTCTACTGCGGTGACTCTGTGGTGATAGGTGGGATTCTAGTAACCCTGTTAGTCCCAAATGTGTTCACACACACGCCGAAACAGTGGAAGGCACAGGGATGGTATCAGGAACCTTCTCAAAGGAATGTTCGTTGGGATCGTTATGAAAGTTGCCACGAGATGGCGCGTACGTTCAAGTGTCTTCAGATTAAAGATGGAAGCTCCCATCGTACGTAGTAGCAACAACTATTTGCAAGACAGAATAGGTAAGCACTCATCCATTTACCTACGCAAGCCACAGGCTGCAATAGAGAGTGCCACCTGTAACAATTAACGCAGGCAAAAACTACACAGTACCACCAACACATGCACTGGCAGTAGCCACTGGCAGTGGCATACGGTACATGTAACATACTGACAGTACAGAATGCCATAGAAATTATACGATTTAAGCCAGCATAAACCTTCTTTAACCAAATTTAGCTTTTGAAATTTCACTGTGACATTGTAGCCTCATACATCCAGGCATGTATAGATCACTGGCAAACCCGGGCCAGTCAAATTCTTCTCAACAGACAGTCAACAAATGCATGTTTAACCCTCCTCTTGAGGGTCAAAAGATTATCTGACACTTACTCTTCGCATGTCAGCAGAAAGTAGATTTCATGGTCCTTTCAATAATGCCATAAAAATGCTAGGTCACCGCTGAAACAAAAAAGTTTTTCATCGCTCCGTCAGACCATGTCCTCAGAAAATGTCTAAAATCTGCCCGCTGTGCCCATTGACCTTTGACCTGTGACCTCCAATTTCGGCACAGTGATGCTTTCCCCTACCATGATGCATACACCAACTATCACAAGCCTTTAGGTCGAGCACATTTTAGATTTGCTGCCGCAATTCTGCATTTCGCTCCCTATACCTTAAGTTACGGGAGGAATGTATCCCCCTCTTTTACACCTCCTGACCTTTGACCTTTGACCTTTGACCCCCAGCTTTCGACCATCCTCAACTCGTTTTCGGATTACCCCCCCCCACTCCGAATAATCGTGGACCGTTACGTGGAGCACGTTTAGATGTATGTGCCAACTGTTGACGGACGGACGGACGGACGGACGATCATGCGATTCTACAAGCTGCATCTGACTATATCAGATGAGCTAATAATTAGTATTCGATTCAGATTCAGGTAAACATCGTGGGCATCACTAAATTAATTTATAATCACAAAAAAGCTAACGTAATGTGATTATGCTAATCCGAGTCCGATAAAATGTTGTGCTTATCAATGGATAGATTTATAATCACAATTTTAAGCTCATGTAATCATGCATAGAAACTCTGCCTATGGTGCAGTAATTCATTCAATAATGCAATTCATAGCAATTCACACATGATCCTACACGTGGGGGATATTGTCAGACATATTTTAGTCGTGATTTTTTCTAGGTGCTATAACAACACTAATAAATATCATAGCACTATACAATGCTTCTAAGAACAAGCTCCTCTGTTTTATTAAGCTATTATATAGTACAGCTAAAATAAGCAAATGCATGTCTATATGAGAACATGAATTTTACAACTAGATATAGATGATCATAACATCAAATCATCATACATAATACTAAGATCTTACCTCGCATTCCATAGTAGCTGAACCGCTCACAAAACTCATTGCCCAAAATGAAGAACACGCACTTGGGATAAGGAAGCTGTAAAAGAGACTCTGTCAGAGAATACAGACTGACAATGAAACTAAGCCCATACCACCCCACAGAGCAAATATGTCACTTTACCACAATCTACTGCATAATCTGTTATAATTATCATGTGCAATATGAATCCCTCCCGTAATCCCTAAAGTGAAATTATTGTGTGAAAGCAGGTGACATTTCACTGTATGATTGCAGGTGATACCAAAAATAGGGAGAGCCATTGCAATCAATACTCGCTTATCACACAGGCAAGAGGCGTGATTTATCACACCCTCCCTGCGTGGGCAGAGTAAGGACAGGGATGCAGGCAGTGCTAGTGGCAGTTCCATTAACCACGACATCTCCACGCACACACAGAACTACTGTTTACACACACAGCAGGGTATAAAACGCGCTATATATATTCCCCAGAATGGCTCATCCTGACTATACTAACCAGCACTCGTACTCTGACGTTTTATATGACAGTGTACTGTATAAACCTATGTGGGCACATACATCATCAGCATGCACATATGGCATGTGGGTTCATTAAATTAGGAAATCTGCTATTATCCAGCATAATTTTGTCAAAGCACCTCATTACCTGTAACCTAACTTGGGTATTGACAGGTGAATATATTTACGCATGCACGCACATGCATGCACCCCATCCCCCCACACACACCAGGAATGAATTAAAACAAATGTTTGTATTTCAGTTTACTCCTAATATCAATAGCTATACCTATCAACTACCACTTCAACATTCTTCATTCAGTTAGAAGTATATGCATATGTAAATGTATGTACGATATTAGCTCTTACACCCGATTGCTTATCACAATGCAACATGGGGTGTCAATTCGCATAACATAAAAATATCTGTTCAAGTTAAAAGCACTAGTGCAAAATGCAATGTCTTTTCATACTACAGTGATGCTATATATTACCAACAATCAGCAATTATTGTAGAACTACCCTTTCCCACAATTTTAAAAATTGCTATCGTTTATAATTCCATCGTTTTGAGTTATTTCTAATTAATAAAAAAAATAAAAACAGCATGTAACATAAATGCTTAATTCAACCCTACAAAACATACGGTAAACAGTGATATATAACATACATTCCTAATTTAGCTAAGAATTGCTGGGAATTGTGTGAGCCTGTCCCTCTACTTTACATATTCCCCATACACCTCCTGGAATCCTGGCTCCTCCCCTGCCATATAACATTAATACTTCTCGTTGTCAACTAACCTTTTCCTCTGGTACAGAGTCATCTACTGACAAAAGTTTTGCCGCTGTAAAAAAGGTAAACATCAATTAATTACTCACTAACATTAAGCTGTATTACAAACCTAAAACATTCCACTGTCCTTATGATCATAGCAAAACTAGGATGTCAACTATATGCTGTTACACACACAATTTGTTTAATATAAGCTAACTGGGCTGGTCACAATTTAATGATGAACCATATATATATTTCAATTATATATATATGGTCACCATTTAGATATTACCAGAATTTATTCTTGTTTTCTATCAATTGATTTGGTCAACTATACATTAGCATGTACACACGTACATCTGTGCATTCAATAGCACATATAAAATCACATCAAGAGTGAATAACACCAGATTTATGTAATTCATATCTGATCATACATGAACACATGTCAATTATATATATATACATGAATTATTGCATGATAATTTTTACCATAGAACTGAGTATAATATTTACATGACAAAATAACGAATCTAAAATAAAATTACATAAATCCAAGGACCTTAACATTAAATAGGTGGTTACATAATCATTGTATAGCTAGAACTAACCACGTACGTATAATCACCTCAGATGTTTTCTCAGAACCAATTAGTCACAGAAAGGTGGAGCGATATTCTTGATCACCACCCACAATATCCCACATGTATGTTTCTACATCTGTTAGTGAACCATTAATTATAAACCGTGTTTACCCTCAGAGTTCAACAAACCTTCTGATGGTATGAGGTATTCATCATCTTCCCCGGACTCGTCATCTTCTCTAGGGCATGCGAATATAGCTAATTCGGTATCTGCCCCTAATACAACAGCCATAACCCCAATCTAATAGCAGGCCAGGCATGAAGTACTGTAACTCCTACATCACCTACACATAGCTATACATGAGTGCCTAACAATACGTTAGCAAACCTATTCATAGAAGTACAACTAGCCCCGGGGGGCACTCCCTACAAAATAGGGTAGGTATGTGCCACTTGAGAGATGAAATTGGGGGGCTCCGGTATTAACAGCACATTAAAATGGGCATCTCCAGAACTAGGGTTTGCTGGAAACCTCATGGTACAACAAATCCAGAATGGTCGTTTTCATAATATTTTTGCATATATGCAAATCTTGAATACATTGATTTACAAATCATTCATGCTATATAAACTCCAAAACTACAAGCATCTATTCTACTAAAATTATTACGCTTATTATATTAACGTTTTATTTACTAACCTTTATCTAATGCCATGAGTTTATTCTTAAACAAGTTAGAAACAACCTAAACTTCAACTGCTGATAAATGTATCTGTAATGGATTAATTTACAAAGGCAAATACTAGATTACAAGAGGCAGCTTCTTTCTTTCTTTACTTGATAAATTCAAGCTTAGATGTGTAAACACCTTATCGCGCAACATATCTGCTGGGAATATGCACCTGATACAACAGGTGCCTATAGTCTAACAGCTGCTTGGTGGCATGCAACTGGATATATGCTGCACTACTAAAACACATGCCACAGCAAACATGGCTACGTGTACACTTTCACTCTGTAGAGACTCAAACCATTGCCGATCATAAATCCTAGCTAACTACTGCCGAGATGCATGTGACACCTACCATATGGTATGTGTCATTTGTCACATCGTTATCAAGCAAACGCACAAAATACTAAGACATGCAAACACCTTGTGAACATGGAAGCCATAACTCAAACCTTCATCTCTGTTGCCTCGAAAAAGCCTGGAAATTCTCCTCATTATTCCCAACAAATTTTATCTGTAACTGACTGAAGACTAGGTAGTAGCTGCCAGCAAACCCAACCAGAAATGAGCCAGATGATAAATTAACTTCCTATTTGAGCACTCGATCCACTGCTGCGGCTGTTGCCATGGCAGCAGCATGCAGCAGCGGCATGCAGCAGCAGCATGCTGCTAGCAGCAAGAGATCTAAATTGCTGGTCTTATTTTAGCTGCAATATAGTTAAAACCCAAGAGCAATTTTACTCAAACAAATCACATATATCTACTATCTACTATCTTCTAGGAAGTTGAAATTATCATATATGATGTAACATCATTGAAAGTACTAGCATGTGTGCAAACAATTTTCTAAGACCTGAGAATTTAAAAAGACCGTCTTTGCTTTTACAGCTTTGGTCTCTATTTATAGGCATACTACCACGATACTATCAAGAGTAGATAATATAACTTTACTCTTGATCTTATATTATCTACTTGATGTTATCTATACTTATATTATTTATACTTGATGTTATATTATCTACTCTTGATACTATGGTATTGATAATTCTAAAACTGTAAAATAGTTACACAAATTATTAGTAATAACACTCCTTCAGTGAAATCCTCCCCCACCTCCTGTACCTTCTCTGTCTATTCCATTTGCCCACTCCCACTGATCCAGAGAGACATGATACAAGATTGCATGGCACAGCTTTGCTGTTGATCCTAAGCGCTGCGCGCGGATGAGACGCGCAGTTCCGCGGGATATGCGCATGCGACAGCGGGGATGTATGAAGCGCTGTCCGCAGTGGAGATGTGCGCCAAATTCGAGGCCCGGCACACGTCTCCACAGCGGTCAGCGGATGGTCTGTAGTTTTAGAAGATGACAATGATTATATATGGACGAGATTCTAGGAATCGGAGATTATAAAATAGTAACAAAAATAATCATGCATAATCACACTACCTTATGACAAAATAAACTCTAGTTCCTCCCATTTCACTGCGCGTTGTCTTATAAAAGGTATTTAAAAATACCTCCAATGTTGTTCAAATTCTCCGATGTTGAGCAACCGCACAGCGGTGCTGCGGTACAGCGGTACGGGTGTAGCAAATATAAAAACATGTGACGTCCCCTCAGTGGCGTATGCAGGATTTTCGAAAGGGGGGTGTTAGGAGCACGCGAAGGGGTGGTCTGGGGGGTCTCCCCCAGAAATTTTTTTAAATTAGCACCCCTTAGATGCATTTTCTGCGCGAGCATGGGGGGTCTGGACACCCTGGACCCCCCCCTGTACACACCCCTGGAAACTGTAGACTCTGATACCGTGTGCGCTTGCACTGACGGGTGGGGTCCCGGGGGTAGATTCATGATTCATCAAGCTGCGTACGCAAAATATTTTGCGTAAATCTTGTGAGCGTACGCAATCGACGTTGCTAAATTAGTTGCGATTTATCAACGCAGTTATTTAGTAAATTTGAGTACGATTTCGCGTATGCAAGCGAGGCCGTTTTAGGTGCGATTCATCAAGCTAAAATTTACGTAAACCTTTGCGTAGGGAGTGTGTATGTGTCAGAGAGAGAGAGAGAGAGAGGTGTGCGTGCGTGTGTGTGTGTGTGTGTGAGAGAGAGAGAGAGGGGGTGTGCGTGTTTGTGTTGTGTATGTGACAGAGAGAGAGAGAGAGAGAGAGAGAGAGAGAGAGAGAGAGAGAGAGAAAGCGCAAGCGAGAGAGAGAGAGAGCGCGAGAGAAAGCGCGAGAGAAACAGAGGTGTGTGCGCGCACGCGCGTGCGCGCACGCACGTGCGCGTGTGAGAGAGAGAGAGAGCAGTGCGTGATTGTGCTGTGCTGTGCTGTGTGTGTGTGTTTGTGTGTGTGCGTGCGTGCGTGCGTGTGGGCGTGCGTGAGAGAGAGAGAGAGGTGTGCGTGTGTGCTGTGTGTGTTTGTTTAGTAAATTAAAGTACTTATCCATACTACGTACACTACAGACAGTCGACAAACGTGCATAGGCCTACACTAGCTATTATAAAAAGCTGCGTTTGATAGCTAGAGTAGATGCAATAAAATCGGTGAAATTTCTGAAATCTCACAATGTAAACAAACTCAAGTCTATGAACATAATATGTGTTGCGTGCAATCCAATTCTGCACAATCTACATTTAGTTACGACATCGCGATTCGCGAGCATGCAGCAGATCGATTTTGGGGTTCTCTATCTTATTTCATTGTACACACTCCTTATCCTGCGTTATAGGCTACCTTGTTCATACAGCTCGGGAGGGGGTGTTTACAAATACTAAACTTAATAAACAGGATAATAGGGCCCTTCTGTTCTCTCTCCCTCTCTTTTTCCCTCTTTCTTTCCCTCCTCTCTCACACACACACTCTCTCCCTAGCTCTCTCCCTTTTCTCCTCTCCTCTTCTTTTCTTTTTTTTAAATGTTTGTTTGGGACAGAGGCAAAAAACTATCCCCCTGTGTACGCCACTGCGTCCCCTCACCACTTCGAGGCTAAATTGTTTGGCAAACAGTCGGCGTTTGCGCCAGAATGCCAGTTTTATCACCTCTTTCTGGTGGGTTTTAAGCAAACGCACAGTGAAATGGGAGCAACTAGAGTTTATTTTGTCCTAATTAAGGTACGTAGTGTGATTATGCAATGCTGCATGACACGAAGTATTTGCTAGTCTAGTAGTACTGGAGAAATTAGCGTTTGGATGCGCCATAGTGCGGCTTTAAGACTTTGGTACTGGTACTGGTAGTAAATACTAGATACAATAATGTAACCCAAACCCAGAGAGGATAGGGGTAACCCTATCCTCTCTGGGTTTGGGTTACATTATTGTATCTAGTAAATACACTAGATGAATGATTTCGTGTTTACATTTTTGTATTTTATTGAGACGTTCGAAGTCCCTGTATCAGTAATACTAGTCCGTAAAGGCCCGTAGGGCCCAAGGTAGGCCTAACCCTAACCATAACCCTAACCTATTATATTGATGTAATAAACTAATATTATATTTATATTTATATTGATGTAAATTACATTGTCATTGGTTTTATTGGGACCCATGTTCTCTATCCTTGAACCGCTCAGGCCACAGTATTGTCAGTAATACGTGCACACAGTTCTATGATTAATCTCAGTTCTTATCGTTTACACTGTCATAATCTTCGTTTATTGACACCTATAAGGATATCCCTCGGTTAAATACTTTCCTCATGTGAATGGCAAAAGGAAGTTAGTTGACTCAGAGTTGACGAAATCCGTGCCGATCTCGCGTGAAATCTCGTGTGAAATCTCGAATGGTAAATATAATAGAACAGCTGTATCGCAAAGCGACCCCACGTGCAGAAGTGTGAAGCATGGTGAGGTGGTGGATAATTAAGGAGGAGGGGAGAAGCTGGTGGAGAAGGAGGTGCTAGGGGGAGAAGCTGGTGGAGAATGAAGAAGGGGAGAAGGGAGAAGGTTGAGGAGAAGGAGGAAAAGAGAAGCTGGTGGAGAAGGAGGAGGGGGAGAAGCTGGTGGAGAATGAGGAAGGGGAGAAGGGAGAAGGTGGTGGAGAAGGAGGAAAAGAGAAGCTGGTGGAGAAGGAGGTGCTAGGGGGAGAAGCTGGTGGAGAATGAAGAAGGGGAGAAGGGAGAAGGTTGAGGAGAAGGAGGAAAAGAGAAGCTGGTGGAGAAGGAGGAGGGGGAGAAGCTGGTGGAG